TACTCTGTTTATATTATAAATATAATAGTGTATTGTACGTCTATAAATATTAATTTATAAACGTTGTTTCTAACATCTCAATTTTATTCAAATATTTAAATACTAATAAAAAAACATATATTATTCAAAAAGTTATAAGAAAATGATTAAAATTATAATTGTAATGTTTCAATTAATATTCAAATTCACTTTTGCTTTTGCTTTAAGTCTTCTAAAAAGCAACTTCCTATTGATTTAAACAATGGTTTTAAATCTATCCCTTAATAACTCATGTATTGTCCTTAGAAGATAAGTGTTCCTGATGCTTGGAATAAAGGATTCTAGCTTATTCTAAGTATTGTACAATAAGGATTAACTAAATAATAAGAAACATTACCATTTGGCAATAAGGAGCTATTCTGAAGAGGTATGCTAAACTAGGAAAGCAAATCTTTATAGCTACTATCTGATTGAAGTATTTCCTTTGATGTTTTTACGTTCCAAAGACGGATAGAGTTATCATAACTACCAGACGCTAATGTAGTAACATCAGGAGAGTAACAAATTGAATTAACTGTTGATGAATGACCAACTAATTTGGCTTTTTATTATCCTGTTTTAACATCCCATAAACGGATAGACATTCGTATTCCGGCCGTAGGGTAGAGGATTCGTATTCCGGCCGTAGGGTAGAGGATCCATGCTCCGGCCGTACTGGCTAGGAAAATCCATCCATGCTCCGGCCGTACTGGCTAGGAAAATCCATCCATGCTCCGGCCGTACTGGCTAGGAAAATCCAGCCATACTAATGTCGGGCAGGTGGTACCGCATCGATATTGGTGAATTTGAAAATTTCCAAAATCTAAAGGAAAATGTTAAATTTCCATTCATTTTAAGGAAAAATTAACTACCATTTGAAAAATTAACCTTTAAAATTATTCTTAACTTAAGAAATAACATTTTTAGGTATCTCTAACAAGGTAAATGTATTCCTAATACCTTTTTTTTTGTTTGTTTAGGGTTGTACAAAACCATTAAAATATGAGAAGTATTTCAAGATTGAAATGATTAACCATTATATAATGAAGAGAATTTAAATTATGATAACCTATAGAATTGAATCATTCTAATTTGGTTGACTACTTTTTATAATAATAATAATCTTATTACAACAATTGAAAATGAAGTATTAAAATTTAAAGATTCTATCATTTATGTGAAATGGTGTAAGAATTGACAATTACAAGATGATCATTTAAATTATCTTACCTAAAAGGATATTTATTCTGTTTGCTTTTATTTAAAGCCAACTGTCTAAGTTTATCATAATTTTTTCTTGTTCCTTCAGATTCTTGATTTTCACAGATCAGATAGAAGTATAGTAATAGCATTTTCCAAAAGAAACCGATTAAATTTATTCAAAGATTCTTTTAAAAAATGTATGATAATTTTCAATTGCTCCTTTCAAAATAAAGGCTCCTGAAGCTTCCAAAATTAAATTTTGACATATTCGAAGTATTGTTTGATAAGTCTCACTAAAGAATACAATTAATAAATACTATTTTTAAAATTGAGAGATGTTAAAGTGGCAATTTAAACCAAGAAAGAAGGTCTTTGTAACAATTATCTTGAGGTAGAATCTCTTGGGTTGTCTCAACATCTCATCAACGGATAGAGTCATTTCCACTACCAGATTCTAATGTAGTACTACCGTGAGATTACCTATATTTTATTTTTTATAGATAATTATTTATACCTTAAGACAGCAATTTTTCAATGAGTTTTGGAACTAGATTGCTATAACTATATTCATATTATTTCCTACTATGAAGTATATCTAACAAATTGTTATCCATAAACAATAATAAAGGTTTTTGTCTCATAAGTTTCATATCTACTATTGATTTGAGAATGAGATCATTAAATATTTTAACGTTGACCCTCTAATTATTTCAAAATGTTATTGTAGATAATTAATTAATTTCATTTTTCATTTAAACTTTATAAGAGAAAATAATACATTTCTGCAATAAATTTCAAAGTTATAGAGAAGATATGAATATCCAATATTGGGTAATTTCTTAAATTCATAATGAATAATAAAATTGAACTATTTGATTGATATTAAAAGAAATCAACTTGAGGTAAGATTACATAGTTCTTATCTGAGTCATTAATAACTGTGAATTATTTATATAAATTTTGCAAAATTATCGTTGAAAGTAGCTCCTTTGGATGTAATTCACATAGAGCTTAAGATTATTGTTAAGGATGGATATAATTAAAATCTCTAGGGGTTGGAATATCTATTGATGATTAATATATCTTTTCAGTCCTTTATTTTCTCTAATACTTTTAATATCATTAAATATCAATTGAAAATAATAAATAACAGGTTATGAAAATTTTACTAAGATTGAGTAATTTAAAAATCATTCAATCCCAATGTTTAACTGTTTTATCATTTAAGATTATTAGTAAGTTTAATTTTATTTTTTAAATTATTAAAATGTATCTTTCTTCTTATCTTTGTTATTTATTGTATCATTACCTTCTTCTAAACTAAAGATCTAAATTTTATTAAAATATTAATAATCTTTATTACGACTAAACCTGTTTATACTCTGTTTATATTATAAATATAATAGTGTATTGTACGTCTATAAATATTAATTTATAACCTTTGTTTCTAACATCTCAAAATTATTCAAATATTTAAATACTAATAAGAAACACTTATTATGCAAAAAGTTATAAGAAAATGATTAAAATTATAATTGCAATGTTTTTAATGAATATTCAAATTCACTTTTGCTTTTGCTTTAAGTCTTCTAAAAAGCAACTTCCTTTTGATTTAAACAAAGGTTTTAAATCT